TCACGAAGGACCTCGTCCTCAAGGGCTCGAAGAGCATCACGAGTCACCGGACGGCGGTGGACCCGGTCGTCACCGCCCGCCACTGACTATTCTCGATGAAAACGATGACGTCCACTATCACATGGAACGTCTAGTCAGACGAGGGTCAAACCCAAAATCTGGTGAAGTGGCGGGAATATCCCGACACCAAAAACTCGTGGGAGTTTTAGACGCCACTTCGGCAAGATTGCCCAGACGCCGTGGACGCTTTGATCGGAAAGATCAGGACGCCCCGCGCTTCCCGGCAATAGCACGTATAGTAGAAGGGCCATGAGCTGAGCTCAAGCAGTGGCCCTGAGCTCCTGCGGTCGAAAACACAGAGCTCGCGGGAGCATTATGGGTTGACCCATACGTCGCAGGGCGACAATCCGAAGGAAGTCGACGGCGTGCCTTAAGATTGGCAAACTCAAATCGGAGGTGTCGCTCCACACGAACGTCCACTTCCTTGTGGCTCAACTGTATATTATACAGTGAGGAAAGTTTTCGGTGCCGTTGCACCTAACGCTCAAAGAGCGCTTAGTCATCTGTAGAGCTTTCGCCAGGGGCAAGCACTACAGATATTGTTCTCATTGCGGGTACACGAGAGCCACCTCGTTGAGCACGCAGATGAGTGTGACAAGCTTCCAACAAGATTTTTTTTGGGACCAAGAAACGAGTTCGAAGAGCTTTCCGTTCGGCAAGCTCATCTTCCGTAATAGCTGGGGGCTTGATAAAGTGATGGCGTAACGATCGAGTTACCACGTCCTTCGCTTCCACAGCGGGATCCGCAGGGCGGAAACCATATTCCACTCGCCTTTTTGCTGTCTTCAGTCGGTACTTTGAAGGCTGTCTGAGAACAAGGCCTTCCTGTGCGGATATGTTGGATGTGGCACCACATTGATAAGCGATCCTATCGGCTTATTTCGCGCATTGAGAAATTGCATCATCGCTGCTTGATCGTTATCAATCAGCTCCGCTTCTTGTAACCATCCTGGTCTCAATAATATTCATGTCTTTGTTTTCGCCGTAATTACGTGGAGCGTAACCTTTTTAACGTTGCCTCGTCTTTCTTTGTAACTTCCAGCATCCCACAGCCTCCTGCATGCACCAATACTGGCGCTGCCAGACCCTGATCGCCCTTCAGCGTTGTCTGTGACGCTTCGGACTTTGCTCTCGGCTGTGCACTGCTGCAAGCAGACGCCAATAGGCGAGATCGGGCGATCGCGTTCGAATATCGACAGCTCAAAGCTGCAGAGAAGAACTAACCAGTTCATGACAAGAAGGTACTTGCGATAAAGAATGCACTTGTCAAGTTCAGGGTCCACCTGCTCGAATCCAAGCCGTTTGTAATCTATACAGATCATGCGTCACTACGAACTGCGACTCAGTGGTCTCACTTCTCGCAGAGAATGGCCAGGTGGCTCTCTTTCTTCGCGGAATATATCTTCGAGGTGAAGTTTAAGCCAGAAAAGCAGAGTGCTTAAACTGATGCGTTGTCACGCAGGCCAGATTATAATTTCGATCATGTCACGACGGTGACGTCGTCCGTGACGGATTGCTATGCGCCGCGTACGCGGGTGATGATATATGCGTAGCGCTGCTACAGGCTCTCGGTAGCAAGGAATTTGGAAACTTGGACAAGAAGTCGTCATCGCGACTGCGCGCACGGTTGCCCCACTATTCATTAGATAACGGATTCCTATACGGATACGCCAAGAATTGTGCTCCTCATGATGAGATTTTGAAGTACCGTGTCTTCTATGAGGCCCGCGACACCCGACTCAGTGGTCATCTTGGCCGTGAAAAGACTTTCAGGTCTGTGAGTTGCCACTACTGGTGGCCCAAACTATCAGATAGACGAGCACATACATATGTGCGCACGCGTGAGACGTGTCAAAGGGTCAAATGGTCAAACTCTATCCGAATGCAGCAGCGCCGCTGGCCAGTTTACCGGTATCTTCGGGTGTCAGCAGTCCATGAGTATGGTCTGTGTGTTTGGCCTGCCGAAGGGTTCGGCGGGCATCACAGGAGTGGTGGTCTTCGTCGACCGTTTGAGCAAGATGGCAAATCTTGCGGCTGTGCCGGACATCATCGACGAGACGCTGTTTGTAGATCATGTCTTTCGACAACATCGACTCCTGGAGTCAAGTGTCTCTGACAGAGACCCACGCTTCATTGGGCAGTTTTGGTCGACAATCTTCATGGTGCTGGGCGCCATGTTGGCTATGTCAACAGCGGACTATTCGCAGACTGGTGGGCAAAATAAGCGCGTGAACCGTGTCGATGAAGACATTCTTCGCAGCGTCTGCGCTGAGACCGCGAAGCGCTGGTTGCTGCCACTTGTAGATTATGCTCTGAGCAATGCAGTGCATTCATACCGGCTACACACCGTTCTACGTGAACGGGCTCGTTAATCCTCGACGCCGCCATACCATGATTCAGGGCTTGGTGAGAGAAGAATATTTGAGTAACTAGCTGATGTCAGCCTTCTTATTGCGCGTAAAGAAGTCGATGACTTCCTGTCTACTGGACTGAGTGTCTTACGATGCGTCCGCGATGCGATGGCTGAAAGCCAAACATGCAGAAAGAATATGCAGACGTTAAAGGTAGAGGATATGTTATAAACTTCGAGGTCGGATACCTGATGCTTGAAAC